ACAGTGTGATGGCGCCACCAGAAATACAGCAGTGGGAGACAGAGGACGGGGTCAGACCCGGCTGTGTTTGCCAACAGGAAGGGAGTTAAATGCTGATTGTTAGTGGATCGACCCATGTTCGAAAAACACGCACTAACCGCTAATTTTAGTGGGAAGGAGGCTTAAGCTAGTCTCCTTATTTCCAGTAAGAACCAGCCCAACCTTCTCAAAACATGGGGGTTGAAGACTGCACAGGAAAAAAAAATACATTTTTCTTTCTTTTTTTTTTATTTATTTTCTATATATACATTACTCAAAAAATTAAAGGAACACTTTATAATCAGAGTATAGCATCAAGTTAATTAAACTTCTGGGATATTGATTTGGTCAGGTAAGTAGCAGAGGGGGTTGTTAATCAGTTTCAGCTGCTTTGGTGTTGATGAAATTAACAACAGGTGCACTAGAGGGGCAACAACGAGATGACCATCAAAACAGGAATGGTTTTACACTTAAATTTTCCCCCTCCAAATCTTTTCTGACTCTTTTTCACCAGTTTTTCATTTGGCTAGGGTCACTGTCACTACTGTTAGCATGAGGCGCTACCTGGACCCTACAGAGGTTGCACAGGCAGTGCAACTCCTCCAGGATGGCACATCAATACGTGCCATTGCCAGAAGGTTTGCTGTGTCTCCCAGCACAATCTCAAGAGCATGGAGGAGATTCCAGGAGACAGGCAGTTACTCCAGGAGAGCTGGACAGGGCCGTAGAAGGTCTACAACCCATCAGCAGGACCGGTACCTGCTCCTTTGTGCAAGGAGGAGCAGGAGGAGCACTGCCAGAGCCCTACAAAATGACGTCCAGCAGGCCACTGGTGTAAATGTCTCTGACCAAACAATCAGAAAAAGACTTCACAAGGGTTGCCTGAGCACCCGACGTCCTCTCGTGGGCCCTGTGCTCACTGCCCGGCACCGTGGAGCTCGATTGGCATTTGCCACAGAACACCGGAATTGGCAAGTCCGCCACTGGCGCCCTGTGCTTTTCACAGATGAGAGCAGGTATACCCTGAGCACATGTGACAGACATGAAAGGGTCTGGAGAAGCCGTGGAGAACGTTATGCTGCCTATAACATTGTTCAGCATGACCGGTTTGGTGGTGGGTCAGTGATGGTCTGGGGAGGCATATCCGTGAAGGGACGCACAGACCTATACAGGCTAGACAACAGCACCCTGACTGCCATTAGGTATTGGGATAAAATCCTTGCACCCATTGTCAGACCCTATGCTGGTGCAGTGGGTCCTGGGTTCCTCCTGGTGCACGACAATGCCTCATGTGGCGAGAGCATGCAGGCAGTTCCTGGAGGATGAAGGAATTGATACCATTGATTGGCCCCCACACTCGCCTGACCTAAATCTAATAGAACACCTCTGGGACATTATGTTTCGAGCCATCCGACGCCGCCAGGTTGCACCTCAGACTATCCAGGAGCTCAGTGATGCCCTGGTCCAGATCTGGGAGGAGATAGCCCAAGACGCCATCCGTCGTCTCATTGGGAGCATGCCCAGAAGTTGTCAGGCATGCATACACACATTTGAGGGCCATACAAATGACTGAATACCATTTTGAGAAATTTCAGCAAAATGGTCTAACCTGCCGCATAATTTTTGTCACTGTAATTTTTAGGGTGTCTTTGAATTCAGCCCTCTGTAAGTTTATAATTTGGCATCCTTTAGTTCCTTACACATCACCCAGTCCATATCAGTATAAATAAACAGCACGATTTTTTCTCCCCATTGAGATCTGATGGGTTTTCAAAGTGTTCCTTTATTTTTTTGAGAAGTGTAAATATATATATTAATAGGTTTGTCACATTAAAGGTCTAAAAGTGTAAAGACTGATTTTGACAGTTACACTCTTTAAAATCACATAAAGGCCATGAAAGGGTGTGCATCTTTTTTAAAGATCCTCTATATTCCCCCTTCATAATCAACCTCCCACCCTCACTCCCCCCTTTCTGTGGGCCTGATGCCATCAGTTGACAGCAGAGGGCGTGCCTCTTCCCTCAGCTGGCCCAGCCAAGCCACAGTGACTACCTGCCTCTGTTCCTGTCTCCATGACGACCTGGATCCTGTTCTGCTCACTAGGGCTTGACATTCAGAGTGAAGCAAGCGAAGGATGCAGGGGACTGAGGCACACAGCAGATGCACTTCACCCAGCAGGATGCTCCACTTCTCCAACTACAGCCATGAAAGTCTGTCACATGTCCATGACAGCATCCCCCCCTCAGCACCATCAGCCCACCCCTCCTTGCTCTGCCTTTTTTAAGCAACATTTTTACCCCCTTCTTAATACCTTCATGCATGTCTGTCTCCTTTTTGTGTGACTGGAACGTTTCTGTCCCCCCATCCCGCAGCTGGACATGAATTAATCATGAGGACACAAGGCTTCTCTGTTTCTATAACAAAGCTGTGACATCACCACATCACACGCACACATGCAAGGAAAAGCAAACATGCACACGTCAAACACAAGAGTTTATTTCTAGGTAGCAAGCTCTGAGAAATAATCCACATCCATAAATAAAGTACAATCCGCACTGTTAAAATTACATCTATTTAAAAGAGAAGATGACTCCTTTGAAATCGTTAAGGTTTTATATACATGGTTGTAAAATCGGTGCTGCAATCCTTTATGTAACCAATTAATAAATGACAGAGCTGCACCTGTACCATGGTTTCTCTTTATAACAGATACATAAATAAAAAAAGATGACTTGATGTTTTAGATCACAAATGTCTTGACCCCCCTTCAGCCAAAAAATGAAATAAATAAATAAATAAAATAAAAACAAAAAATAATAATAAACAAATACATAAAAGAAGATGCATGCTGTTTTTCTGCAAGACATAAAATATTCCTGGTCTAATTGGTAATTGCAATCAACCCCACCTCCTCCTCAATGTCATTGTCCTAATTTCTCCTGGAAAAACGCACAAACTGCAGCGTCATAATTTCCGATTGTTCAGACAGGAGCGTGTTTGATATCACCCCCCCTCCTCTCATCTGTCTGACTGACTCCATCCCACCCTCCTCCATCTGAGACAGATGGAAAGAAGAGGCGACAGCACCGATGCAAAGCCAGCCACGCACCGACACCGCTCATGCAGGCAGGATGTGAGGGAACATATCTACCTTTTTCTACCGGCGGCTCTCCCGCGCAGAACGCTCCGGGTGGTGGGAGGAGGGGTGGGGGGGGGGGGAGGCGGACAGCTGTCAGCGGCGGGACCTGGATCACGCATTCGCCGCAACGGACCGGACCGCAAACCCGCACAAAAACGCCCCCGTGCCTTTGGTGACACTGGCCCCGCCCACTCGCGTCAATCAAAACGCGGGGCTGGGCGGGGTCTGAGGTAGAGGTGGCTTATAATCTGCCTGCGTAAAAACATAATTGGAAATCATTATGGGAAAAATATGGAAATAGAAAGTGACTTCATAAGGAGAAACTTGTGAAACTTGAAGAAAATTTTAATATAATTAATAATATGAAATATAGGAAGCAAACAAAAAAATTTTTTTTTTTTTAAAAAGAACTAATTTGATTAAATATTTTTATATAAAGATTATTCCACAACAAACCACGCTAAATACGAATCATTTAATAACAAAGGTAGAAAGAATTAATGGTTAAAAATACAATGTCTAAAAAAGGGTATGTTTCTATTGAGAATGTTTTTCCTCCATAGTCATTGGCAGCAATGCACAACTTATGTTTTTGCTAACCGCTAAAAAAACACAAGCAGAAGAGTTATTTGATATTATTATTACATTTATTAATAGACTATAAAATGAGGTTATTGTCATAACACTTAAGAAAAAAATTCCTGTGTTCTGTAAAAAAAAAAAAAGGAAAAACACTTCACTGAATCTGTATGATCTTATTTTAAACATTTAAAAACAGTTTATGGGAATTGGTAATATTCATTATTATTTACAAACTGATATGCCTAATCTGTAAAATTACAATAAAACAGAAGATACAGTATATTTTTTGCTATCCATAATACAGCAGTTAAAATCGATAACGGTACATGAACTTTAAAATAACTATATATTGCAGTAAATTGACTGTAAAAACCGTAAATTACTGGCATCCCTGTTTTTTTTTACAGTGACATCCTTCACACATAAGGAATATAAAAATTAGACTAGCATTAAAACACAAACAATGCAATGACAAATGCTGCAAAATAGAAATGCTTCAATCACAGACAATAAGGAGCAGCTTAGATGATTAAATCTATCCATCCATCCATCCATCCATCCATCCATCCATCCATCCATCCATCCATCCATCCATCCATCCATCCATCCATCCATCCATCCATCCGATCTAATCTAATCTAATTTAATCTCCAGGGCTAGTTGAGTATCAAATACCAAAGAACACTGCACCAAAACAGGTGTTTATGTCAAACCTGGATAACTATTGCTATGATGTTGTTATGGCAACCCTTTTGGTAATATGCTGATGGGGCGATCTTTTGACGTTTGACTGTTGTCTACAGATTTAAAATCTTCACCGATAGATAGTCAAGTGAGTGAGCAAGTGCCCCTGAGTGTCAATATGTTTCTCTAAAAAATATAATTCAAGGCTATACACATCTTTTTTTCAATAATTATTGGACATAATAATATTGGCCACTTCCATATCTGTGATTTGTTCAAGTGTAAATAATGGGATCTCTGGATCAATTAATAGACTGATTATGAAATATAAATGGCGGATGTATAGCTCACACAGTAAGTTTTTTTTTTGTTGTTGTTGTTTATTTTGGGATTCCAAGGAATTTAAGATTGTTTTGCTAAATGACTTTTTCCTCTCCATAAGCAATTTTAAATGCTATTTTAAAAGTGTCTTATTTGGAATGAGTAGCGTTAAATTTCGATATAAGTCCAAATTTTCAAAAATAATAAATAAAATAATAATCAGGCATTCTTGATGGCTGCCAAACAACAAGGTCCTCGACGAAAGGACCTCTCGGGGAAGTAAACAGACAGAAATGCATCTTTAATTAACATCGCTGCTATCGATTTAAGCGATGAAAGTATCTCTTTGTGTGTAACAGGTTGTAAATATTGGTGTTTTTATGGTGATGGCAGAAGATAATGAGCTGGAAAAGTGAGGAACTTTCACTATTTATTCTCTGTGTTTGTGTCAAACTGATAAGATCTCTACCGGGTTGCTGTAAATCCAAAACCTCGGCTATATCTTTAGCTTGTTTCCTTCTCTCTGTGCACTAATCCCAGTGAACTACCTCCAGCTGCTGTTATCAGTAGCTATCGATTAGCAGAGACACCAGCTGTCATTTAGTGTTAAGATTTACTGCTACTGCAGTTCTCTCTAACTTGGTTTAATTCCATAAACATTTTTACCTCCTCCCCTCTTCGTTGTTGCCATGACTACATTTCTCTGGATCCTTCCCTCCATGCAGGCGCGCTGTGGAGGAGCTGCTCAGGGAGACCGACAGAGCCCGGGTGAGAGCAGAGACCATGGGCCCTGCAGGATGGTGAGCTGAGACCCTAGGGTGTCCATTTCTATAGCACTCAGAAGGAGCACATTATGCGACATATCAATACATTAATAAGTGTACATAAGAATCTGGTAAAGTCTAATTTATGGTATAATTCTCAGAATCAGAAATACTGTAATAATCACAGAGGCAAATTACTTTTCTTACACGCTCCAGACACAGTTTTATATATATATATATATATATATATATATATATATATATATATATATATATATATATATATATATATATATATATATTAGTGCTGTCAGTTAAACGCGTTATTAACGGCGTTAACGTAAACCCAATTTAACGGCGTCAATTTTTGTATCGTGTGATTAACGTTCTTTTTGGCCTAACACACTTTGTAGTTTTTTCACATGCTGTTGCAACAACTAGTAACGTTAGAAAAACTACAACACCACTCCGGATCTAGTTAGACCGGAAACAAAACATCAGGCACGCTGCAACCTCACTTGGGCGATGAAAAGAGTTGACGCTGCATTTTGAGTGGATGGCTAGCGTGAGACGCCGAAATGGATGCCGATAGTATTCTGAATGGAAAGTTTTCTTTTAAAAAGTTGCCAAATGGTTCCATTGACAAGACCAAAGTCATCTGTGTGTTTTGTCGTTGTGAACTGAGCTATCATCGCAGCACGACCAGTCTGAAATACCATTTAATGGCCAAGCACTCAGCTGATTTGAATTCTCCGCCCCCTCGTCAAAGCCAGGTAACAATGGATGATTTCAGACAGAAACGCATGGATACTTTAACTAAGAATAAACTTACTGCAGCCATAGCTAAATGGGTGGCTACTGCATGTAGGCCTGTTAACGTTGTGGAGGACGAGGGTCTCGCGAATATTGTACGGACCGCAGCCAACGACTGGAACTACGAATTGCCTTCGAGAGCCACCATTACAAGCCACATACTGAAATTGCACGAAACGGAAAAGGCTAAGTTACAGCAGGCGTTGGAGAAAACAAAAGTAGTCGCGCTCACTGGTGATTACTGGACGTCCATCAGTAATCACAACTATCTCGGGGTCACAGCCCATTACTTTGATCCACAGTGGAAACTTCAGTCGCATGCTTTGACTGTTGTAAAGACAGAAGAGAGGCACTTCGCTGACGCTGTTGCAGAGCACTTTATGCAAGTTGCTAGAGAGTGGGACATCGAACAGAAAGTTGTCTCACTGACCACGGATAGTGCACGCAACATGATTGCAGCGGCCAGGCAGCTCCCCTTTGAGCACATGCCGTGCATCGCACACAGTGTGCACCGAGCCGTCACGGTTTCTCTAACCAACAGCCCGTTTGACAGCGCATTGGCGAAATGCAGAAAGGTTGTGGGGCATTTCAAGCACAGCCCAGCAAACCAAGCACAGCTTGAGCAGCAACAAGTCGCACACCATCAGAAGAAAGAGTCACTCGTACAGGAAGTGTCAACGAGATGGAATAGTACACTGGAAATGATCAAGCGTGTTCAGCGGAATGCTGAACCTCTGAGAGATGCACTGGCCCTGCACGCAACGAACGTCGCCATGCCAACAGCTACTGAGCTGGAGAAACTGAAGAAGCTCGAGGCTGTGCTGGAGCACTGCAGGTAATTTATTGTGTATCTGTGTTGTGTGTCTGTTTGTTTAATAATCAAAGTAGGTCTGTGTCAGAACAGTAACTAATTGGGTGTGTGTTTTTGTGCGGGTAGGCTAAGAGAGAGAGAGAGAGCGCGCGAGAGAAAGTGAGAGAGAGAGAGAAAAAAAAAAACACTGAGTGAATTACAGTAGGCCTAACTAATTACCCACTAAAGTGCTTCTTTATATTATTGCAGGTATGTGTCAGAACTTCTGGGAGGAGAGAAGTTTGTGTCTTGCTCAGTGGTGCTGCCAACGTTGTGTCATCTGTCGCGAGTGATGGAAGTTACTGAAGATGACCCAGCTTACATGATCAACTTCAAGGGAACCTTCGCAGCAGAAATGGACGGTCGCAAGGAGAAGACCAACATCACATGGCTGAGAGTTGCTACAGCACTTGACCCAAGGTCAGAATGCCATGCTTCATATTTACACTCATCCTCATCCCCAGCATTGTGTTTCTCTCAGTATGTTTGTTTTGTTAGTTTGCTTGCTTCTTTGCTTTGCATTTTTGAATTTTGCACTGTAGAGATAGGGATATTGTCACAATTTTGTTATACCTGTTCTTGTATTAAAGTTTGATTTCATTTCATTTCAAGGTTTAAGGACCTTAAGTGTCTGAGCAAACCTGACAGGGCTGAGGTGTGGAGAATGATCCGTGCCTTGCTCCAGGAGATGGAGAGTGAGAGGCCTGCACAGCCGGATATCCAAATCACGCCTGAGCCTCCTAAGAAGAAACCAACTCTCATGCTTGCACATGAGTCTTCGTCTGATGAAGAGGAGGACAGTATTGAGCAATGTCTGGAGCGCTACAAGGCAGAGCCTCTTATTGGCATGGATGACTGTCCCCAGGAATGGTGGTCTACACATGAAGGGGCACACAGTGAAATGGCCCGCCTTGCACGCAAGTACTTGGCAACACCGGCTACATCAGTACCCTCTGAAAGGTTGTTTTCACTGTCTGGGTATGTTGTGCAAAAGAAGCGAGCTTCCTTGTTGCCTGAAAATGTCAACAGGCTTGTCTGTTTGAGTAACTGGCTCAAAGCAAAGTAGTTATAGCCTTACCTTTTATTGGTAACCGTTACTGTTCTTTCTTTATGAAATAAGAGGCTGAGTTCTGGCAAATAAAGAGTAGTAGCCTGACTGCTATGTTCAAAGCAAACTTGAGAAAAATATTAAGCCATGGTTTAACTGCACTATAGGCTGAGTCCTAGTTTACATTACATGTGCACTTTGTAATTTAATTTTGTATCGCCCTGTTTTGATCCCTAGGGCTGTTGAACGGGCTGTTTCTGTTTCTATTTTTTTTCACTCTTTTACTAATGGACAGTGTATTACATTGTGTGAGAGATTACTGCTCCAAGTGAAAATGTTAGAGTGAAATTGAACACTACAGTATGCCAATGTTGTTTTCAATAAAAAACATTTGCATAAAGCAACCCAATCTACTTTTTCATATTCATAAGAGCATTAAAATGAGAAAAAATTATGTGACAAAGAAATCAAGGGACATTTAGAATAGATAAAAATGTGCGATTAATTGCAAGTTAACTATGACATTAATGTGATTAATCGTGATTAAATATTTTAATCGTCTGACAGCTCTATTATATATATGTGTATATATGTATAGCTAAATCCAAGTAAAGTGATAGTGACGTGCAAAAATAGTGCAAGGAATTAACAATTACAGAGGGGGGGTGTCTGAATCACTTGAGGGAGGTGTTATAGAGGTTGATGACCACAGGTAGGAATGATTTCCTGTGGTGCATCTGGGTAGGAGGAGTCTTCTGCTGAAGGACCTCATCTGCTGGACCATTCTGAGGGGTTTAAAGAGGATGCTTGTGTAGCTGAATAAGAAAAAATATGAATGAAAAGTAAAAAATAATTGGTTCACAGTGTTTTTATTTACTCTATACATTGTGGTGTTTAAAAAGTGACCGCTGAGATTAATCTTTAAAGTGCAGAATGCCACAAAGTATAACATGTGGGGACTTAAATGTTCAAAACATCTTTTAACAAGTAACATTCATAATAAAAAAAGTCCAATATTTTATTTAAACAACTAAAAACAAAACAAAACAAACAAACATTGATATGCTCAAAAGTTATAGCTTTTTTAAGTGCTTCAGTCTTTTTGGAACTTGTCTTCAGTTACTTTGTGTGCAGCAGACCTGCTTTCTTTAAGGTCATCCCTTTAGCTGTAGGTGAGTCACTGGAAATCTCCCCGTCCACTTTCACACCACAGTCTACACCTCTGTAGGACTGGTGATGTTTCACAGTATGGTCCGCCTTGCATAGCTCTGCAGAAGTTATTTTAGCATCCAGGGGGCGACGACACTTCATGAAAAAAAGCCCGCTTTGAAAAGTTCCCTGCCGCTCGTTTATTACTTTTATGTTAATCTGTTCTCACATGGCTGTCAATTGCACCTTTCCCTCGACTGCTTGCATCCACATCGCGTCGACAAAGTGTGCACAAGCCACGGAATGAGTCTCGACTACTTTTCGTGATAAATTCATACGCTTTTGTCCATTCAGAGTTTAACAAGGTCTTACGTTTTGGCATGATGCTAACTGTCTGTCAATGTATAACTTAGCAGCACTTTGATCCTTGTTTACTTTTGTAACCAATGACAAGCAGATATTTATCTGACACAGGACCACTTAAAGCCAATCATCTGTTAGACCAGATAGTTGATGCATTTTTTTTTTTACATTCTATGATTGGATATTGGGCTGCAGCCCAGCAAAAAAGAAAATAAAAATGCTCTACAAGCCTCTGGCCTCATAAAGGAGGACAAATACATGTGTGACTGGATGCATCTACCTACAGCCGGACATCTGGACACCCTATGAACTCCTAGTAAGAAAATGCCGGTGCTTTTCTGAGTTTTTGCTTGTAGGTACAAAAAAATTAAATAAAATACGCTCTGGCTCCCTGTTTCCTTGTTTCCTGTAATCTCCCGCATTTTGCAGGTTTACAATGATAAACTGTTGTTTTTCTGAAGATTGCATGTCATCAACTAACAGCAGATATAACACAAAATACCAGCTAAAACTATAAAGGCTACAAGAAAGGATTATTTTGCTGTTTGGTTTATCAGTCGACTCATTTTTAGATTAATCATAACAAAAGATGATTACTGTTAGATTTTTCAGCAGAATTTTAAACAAGTGAAGCTAAAACTATGACTTGTGGAGTTTTGGACAAAGCACATTATAGATCAATAAGTTTTACCATCTTTAGATTAAATGTATGTACCTTTAGTGCAGTCTAGGCCGAATTAATGCTCTAAGCGGCTTTGTTTTCCCAGCAAACTGTCATTTTTTTTGAGTCTGTACAGATTAGTTACAAGTATTCAGATTATTTTTGTCAGCCCTAGAAACTTGATATGGTTTTAATTTTAGTTTTTTTTTCTTCATTAAATTGATCTGAAGGGTAAATTATTGCTTTCTGAATCCATCATCTTTGCAGCTATTCCTGTGGATCTTGTATGTTTTTGCACATTGAGGCACTGATTATTTTTGCCCATTTCTATTAGCAAACCTGCTCCAGTTTATTTAGATTGGATGAGAAAGTATACATGAACTTCAGCTTTCAAATCTAGCTTCTTATCTTCTAGTGTATGCTGGTCTGTAACAGAATCCCAGAAGTAAGCAATACAGTCTAAAATATGTAAAATATGTGAGTTGTAAGTCCTCTGAATGACATCATTGTTCTCTTAGTGACTTTCTAATGACTGAACAAGCCTGTGTTTTCCCTTCAAAGGTTGAAATGCCCTTTGCAGGGCACCAACAAACGCTTTCTCCTCAACACGCTGCGTTCCACGGACCTGCAGCGGCGCTCTGATGGGTCGAGAGGCAGACGCTCCGACGACACAAGAGGACGAACGAGGAGCGAGTCCCCGGACAGGCGCCGTGCCCGCAGCAGGTCGCCACAAGCAGATCCAAGGAATGATGGAAGCCGCAAAGAGCGAAAACGCTCTCCTCCTCCACACAGGGATAAGAGGCTGGACAGAGATAAAGATGAACAGCGCAGGCACAGGCAAGACAGGAGGAAAATCCACAAAGATGGACGGAAAAGAGAGAAAGACAGACGGATACAGACTTCATAAGCGGTCTGGATTTGTTTGGGGAGAGGTGGTGGGTCTCCAGAGCCATCTGAGGATTAAAAAACATGTAGAACTGGTGTTATAGAGAATGTGAGATCTACGCACATTTTTCCTTAATGAGAGGAGCTTCAGAGTTTCAGACATGTTTTAAGTTAAAAATAATTAAGGTTGTCATTTTTATTTTATTTTTTTATTTGGTTTTGTTAACATTAATTGACATATATCCTTTTTGCCCTTCTTTGAAATGTGAAGAAATAAAAAGCTCAAACTGCCTTTACTTTGGCATCTACCTGCAAATCTCATTTCAGCAAACACTGCCAACACCCCTCTTTCACTCACTTGACTAATGCTCATGTGGAGCTCAGTTTTACCAAACCTCCATCATATTATCATTACTATTCCTCAGCCTCTATTCACACGTCATGGTGTTGACTCAAGCCATGCTCCTGTCGCCACAGGGTAAGCTCATTTCTATCATATGTCCAACTTTTTGTCCTGCTATCGGAAACAGTTTTGTTTGCTTAAAGCGATTTAAAAAAATATGTTTTCCTGACCTTCAAGAACCTGCTGCTACAAGTGATCCCAGACATATTAGGACACTTTATTAGTAAATTTAGTGATATTCTATTAGCCAACTACGAAACTACAGAAGGGACAAATTTACACAGAAAAAATGGAGCAAATACATGGAATATGTTTGATATATGGTGCCTAATTTGAACCGTGTTACTGAAATGTGTTTAAAAACTACATTTGATTTATTGTTTATCTCATGCATCAAATTAGCTATTCTGCCATCAACTGAAGCCAGTAGGGAACTTGCATGATCATTCTTAGTAGCAGGTGAATGTTAGTTGGTCTACAACTGAAAGGTTATCCTTTGAGTTAAACTGAAGTATACCTGTGGAAATATCTTGATGCCAAACCTGAATCCAACCAAATTCCTTTGCTAGGATGAGAAAATGGAAAGCAATCACCAAAAACTATAGGGTACAATACTCAGAGAGAGCTGTCTAGATAGCTTTGTGGATAAAGTAAGGCTGGAAAATATGGCCAATAAGAATGCACACAACAGAACCCTACACAGACTTATAACTATTATTTTTGCAAAGTTTCTATCACTTATCTAATAAAACATTTTAGAAATGTTGACTTCAAAAAACAAAACTCATAAAAGTACATAAAGATCCAAAACATTAGTCATTGGCGAATTCTGTAATCATAGACTTTAATCTGTACTCAAATATTGTACATGTTATGTTACAGTTATTAAATAAAATTACAGTTATGTGATATATATATTGATATTGATTTAATGTCCACCCGTGGGATAAAGTCCGTTTTTGGGGAGAGAAATAAAAAGTTAACCTGAAGTGTTTTCCAATAACCACAAATATTTCATAAGGAGGAAAAAGAGGGAAGCTTTAAAAACCTGAATAGATCATCCAAACTGTGTGAGTGGTAGCATCACGCAGCGTTTTTTACAAAAGGAGGATCTGTTGCACTGTACAAAATAAATCGTCTAATAATAAAAAAGCATCCTGTTGAAATAACAGATTAAGAACTCGGTTATAAATCAGTGCGGAAGATAAACATTGAGCTCTATGTGGTCATAAGCTTGTAGGAAGAGAAAGAGGCTTAGGGAAAATAGATTAAATATGTTACATTGGCCATGGCAAACCTCTGATCTTAGATTGAAAGGTTTTTGGACAAAAGATCCTAAGATTCTCATGGAAAAACCTGAAATGTTAAAGCCTATCCTGCACATTTTGAGGAGAACATGGCATAAATCTGAATGAATCAATATAAAGAAATAAAATATGTCTCTCGTGGCATTCAGCAAATAAAATAAATGTAACTAAATTTGACTACCCCAAAAAATATTCTCTATGCACACATATACACTTCACATGTATGGATTCAGTAAATTACATCTGCAACTTTTTGACATGATAAAATGTAACTTAAGTTACCAAAGATAAACAGTTTAAAAAACTATAGTCTTTTTTTTTCCCTTTAAGCAAAACCCAATTTTTCATCCAACCTTCTGTAGACAAAACGAATCTGAATAGCAAACATTGATTCTATAAACGATATTGTTTCCCGAGAAATTGGTGGAAAACTATTTATGTTTTGTAAAATATGTTATTCTCATTCAGATTGTTAGCTATATAACTTTTATAAGGATGGGGGAGGGGTGATAGTTCTTGCAGTTTCTTCAGGTCTCTCACTGGAAAAATAATTCAGAAATAAGTAACAATTTCTTTAAGTGAATTTAACCTTAATTTGAGTAGGCAGATGAGATGCTTTGCCAATGTAATGAGAATTTTTACTCTTAAAATATGATAATTAGATAATATGTACTTAAATAGGACACTGAAATTGTTTTTTTCTTAATTTAAATGTAAATTGTCTTGTTCCATTGGAAAAATGTCTCTTTTATCTCCTCAATTCGAGAACAAATCCACTTGTTCTAAGAAATAAAATGACTTGTCTAGATTTTTATTTTTTCCAGTGAAATAAATCTAAGAGCTCCAACCCTAAAATAAGGGAGTTTTCCTTAACTCTATTACAATTACTCAAGATCTTCATATAGGCCTTCTGTTTGTAATTTTCCATTTATCTTTTTTTATTGTTCCCACAGCTTTACAGACATGAGAAGCCACCACTCTCTGCCATCACAATTACCCTACTCATCTGTTACAGCTCTCTTAAGTCTCACCCACCCTCCTGTTGCGCTCCTTAAACTGCCGGTCAAGTTATCTAAAACGCGTTTAAAGCACATCATGCTTCATAAACCACATTGTGGAGAACAGTCCGAGTTAACAGTTTCCTTCCTCTTTGCAACAATGATCAAATATAAATACCATTAAGTCATATTGCAGGCAGGTGTTGTGTATAGAACTGGTTTACTTGAACTTTATTGCATCGCAGAGTGCCCCCATTAAGATACAGTGGAAAGTGCTATAATTGCATTTGAATATCTAAGTGCAAATAGACTGTTGATGGCACACACTCTGGCAAATGAACGCGTTCTTTAGATTTTAGCAACATAGCGGGGTTGATGGTCCAACAGGATGTGGAGATACGCTGCAGGCCCCCATGCAGTTAATTGAGTTCAGCCGCTCTAGTCTCTCCAGCTTAATTGGCTTACTGCAAGAGCTGATGTTTAATGGGGCGGACACACACAGGGCCGCAAGAGGCTAATGGCCAGCAAACAACGGCGAGAGTGTGGTGGCTCTGTTTGTTGTCACGAAGGGCCCTTGTCGGTGTGGAGCTGCGGAGTGAAAATGGTGTTAAATGATGCATCTAGGAAAGTGTAAATGGATGCAAGCTGAACGCAAGGCAAGGGGTGGCAAAAAATCTGGTATCATGGTGTGTGATCCCTCTTGTGTGAGTTTCCAAGACAACAGCAGCTGCTTTACCAGGTCACTTTATCTAGCAGGTCAAGCAATGTTTGCAGCCGTACATCGATATATCAGCAGAGGCGTAGCCAGAACATTTTTATAAGGGTGGCCAGGCAATAACCAATGAACACTGAGGGCTAGCGGAAAGCGGATCGGCACCAGAACCTTAGGGTCAATCTATACTGATCCAACAGGAAAATGAACAACCATATTTTCCAAATAAAGACAAACTATACTTTCTACAGCCTTTGCTAACAAATAGACGCATATATTTAAACATCCATCTAGATAAAAGGTATAATGGATAAAGTTCTTTCAGGTTTGAGTTCTGGGCCAAACATCTTTTCCATTGTCATTACTTACCTACTTTTATCAATAATCATTCTGCATAAAATTGATATTTACAAGTTCTAATATCTACGAAAATTATTTATTTAGTAATTTCTATTAGAATAGTTATTTATCTATGATTTAACTGAAGACTGACTTGCATTTTCTCTTTATCCCATATAACACAAAATCTAGTTCTGAAAAGAGCAAGAATTATGTACTTATCTTTATTGTTAGTATATTTATGTGTATAATTAAAGAGGGTTTTTGTTGTCAAGTAATTGTTAATCTATGAAAAATTAAAATTTTTTGAATATTGAGAGTATTACTCTAGTATCACTTGAGAGTATTACTGCTGCCACTGTCAGTATTGTGGGGGAAAAAAGGGTTGGGGTGGCCAATGATTGGGTAAGGGTGGCCATGGCCACCCCTGGCCCCCCATCTAGACTTAGACTTAGACTTCTTTATTTGTCATTTTGTATGCACAGGGTGCATACAGAACGAAATTGCGTTACATACAGCTTATGAACGTTGCATTGATATTTCAAATGGCACGAGTTATAGAAAAATACAAAAAGTGCAGCAGTGGTCAAAGTGTGAACAGTGCAGAGGATAAGAGACAGTGTGCAAGTTGCAGTGGTTCAGTGCAAAATGGCATTTGTGCAAAAAATGCGTTATTGAAAAATACAATGAGATGAACAATTTAAAGGGCTAAAAGTTAAAAGTTCAGCAGCATTTGATGCATCTAGCTCCATCCCTGTCCATTAGGCTCACACTGCAGGCTTATTAAATATTTAAAAGGCTAATTTATGTCAGTATAGTTCAACAATTGACACTCAGACTTAGGGTGAAATATTTGAAGCATTTATTTTCTTTTACTTTGGAATATCATGGTAGATTATCATAACAAATGACAAACCAAATGCCAAAAAAAATGTCAATATTAGGCTACATGGGGCCAAAATGATTATTTTTAATTACATTATGTTATTTAATGGCCTGAAACATCAGTACTGCTACAAGAAAACTTGCTGAAGAAGCAGACTTGTCACATATGCTTTATCCTACTGGTGGAAAGAAAAAAAAAACACATACAGCTGTATTCTGAAAATGGCTAACAGTGTTTGTATTCTTTGTGGTAAAGCCACAGCTGAATGATTTGGGAAGCTGTTTCATCTCAGATCTAAACTCAATGCAGAAGTTTTAGCTGTATCGTGCATCTGTTTGCTGACGAGCTTCACAGAGATGCTGCAGGGCTTGTGTAAAGGTACCACAACTATCACTGATTTACCAGCAAATCTAAGCTAAATGAGAATGTATACATAATATTACAATGAAAATTAAAGACCCAAGATAATGCATGTATTGTATTGTATTGTAATTGTAACTTATGTTTTAGTAGCACAGTCAGAAAAAGGCTGATCACCTCAATTCTGCCCTGCTAAAGTGGACATATATTTTAGCAGATGGCAAAACACTTAAGTAAAAGCTGATTCAGATTAATCTACTTTCTAATATTATGGTTTCTTAAATCCAGATGCTTATAAGATTGTAGTATTCTTCATAATCAGATACTAAATAGGTTTTCATTAACTCTAAGCAAACATTTGAATAAACACTTAAACCATCTCTCTGTTATCGTTATAACCTATTATTTCCTTTTAAAAGTAAAATCTTTAAAATAACCTTTCAGTTAAATGCATTTGGCATATTATCTTACAGGTTCAGTTTTACAAGTGGGATATATTGATATAAAATTGAAATCCTATAAACTGCATTTTCATGGTGCTTTCAACTATGCAGCACAATAACATTATTTTGACATTATCCTTTGCTTAAGTTTTTCCAGAACACAACAACTGATATAACTTTATTTTGTCTAAATTATTCTGAAAGAGTTTCAGAGGAAACTGCATTCCTGCTGGTAAGGGTGGACCCAATTAAATTATGTATCATTTCATGAAAAAGTTCAAGTGTAGAAGTCAGTTTGCTGTGAAGAAAGTTTCAGAAAGTCAATCAAATGCCAGTATTCTCTCCTAAGGGGATCTCCTAGGGTTCAGTAGGTATCAGAACTTGCTCAATAATGGCAGCAGGAGGAATGAGCTTCAACATTTAATGTTAATTAATTAGTTTTTGTTCCAGAGTCCTGAGTAAAAAAAGATCAAGACTTATATGCATGAGTTGGATTTAATTTTCCAGTAAATGACTGTATTACTGAATATGTTTTAATAGAAAAATCAAAGCAGGTGTTTAGGAGACATTTCTCTCCTCAAATTACACAGTTTGTTTTTCTGATCTGACCATTTTACCTGATTAGATGCCATTGATTCACATGTCCTCCTGTCTGTGGAAATAAACAAGGGGATGCAGGTAAACCTTGTTGTATTTGCAGAGCGGCACTGATTTACGCGCTCTGTTCAGAATCTCCTGGAAACTGCCCGCTGCAGCTCTCCCGTTTTGTGCAAACAGTGAAACCAGTGACTTGGTGCGCCACATGGTCACATGGTGTCAGAGTGACACACCTGTGCAGAGCCCGCTGGGGCCTTGCAGTTGCGCCACAGGTGCTTAGAGCTGAAGGTCCAAGCCGAGGCAGGATCGTATAGGGACGCAGCCTCGGCTCCTTTCTCAACCATGAACCGGGAAGACCCTTTCTATCCCTCTCAGGTGTTTAAAGAGTCCTGCTCTTACCAGAGATCCCCGGGTGATGACTACAACCCGCCACCCTGCCTCTACATGAGCAGGCAGGTGCACTCCGTCTACACGCCGCCGTCTCTGGGCACCCTGGAGCAGGCCATGCTTCCGGACATCTCTCCGGCCGTTTTTACCATGCCTGGTATGCGGGAGGATCCGGGCGGGCCACCGCTCCACCACCCGCAGGGGCTCCAGCAGCAGCAGCAGCAGCAGCCTGCGCTCCAGCCTCCAGGTTATATGGAAGCAGGAGAGCAGAACAGATATCACCTCCCTTTTCCCTGGATGAAGACAACCAAATCCCACTCCCATACCTGGAAGGGTCAGTGGACAGGTAAAACAAGACCAAAACAAACAGAAAAATCCCTAAGAGAAAATAAATTGATCCTTTAAGGATCCACAAGACTGGAATTGATCAATAAGTGTGAATTTCTGATGCCTAAAATATGGTCATTAATCACTAATTTAGCGTGATTAGTCTACTTAAAATAGAAGCTCAAGGCTACACTTTATGGCCTATAATCTTTATATATAGAGCGCACAATATATAACCCAGTTATAAGTGAGAGAGTTGAGATGCCCTTTTTTTAAACGCACAGGCCAACAATTCTGTTATTTAACCTTTAGGTTGGACTAGGCCTATTAAGTTTGCCGAATAAAACATAAGTTAGTATTTGAGGATTTGTTGGGAAATTTCCGGATGTAGGCTATAAGACTGTTTTAGGAACTTAGACAAATTAGATTTGAGTGTTGAGAGGTGAATAGAGCATAGATTTAAAGAGGAAAAATAGGGTTGAACCACCCAATTCAACAGAGGGGACACCTTATACTATATGAAGAGGGTATAGGCTTTAAATTAAACCTTTGACTTTCATAAAGTGTATTTTAACGACCTTATGTTTTGTTTTGCTTATGTTTTATATCACATTTGAAAGCTTAGATATAGTTCTTTTAAATAATACAAATGATTGTCTATGGATCCACAATGATAAAATTAAATGCAGATTTGAGCCATTTGGTGGATTGCATTATAAGGTGAACTTCAGCAGAGTTTGAGGTCTGTAAAAAATGATAATTCTTAATTAAGAAACATCATTTTATTACAATCAGTCTTTGTATTGATGTTGTAAATGAGTCAAAAGACGAACAAAATGCAATTTAATTACACAGTTAAAGGCAGCAAGCGGGAAAAACTGTCGCTTAAACATTAAAAACAGTCAAACTGTTTAGCTGGAATAAAAATGCACTGAAGCTGAATTTTCAAAAAGTCACCTTTGTTATTTTTGTTGCTTTTTATTTTTTATTTTTGAATAATTAAGATTTTATTTTGATGACGGTAAACCTACCATTTTTTTTTACTAATTAATTGAACGTTTCTTTATGCTGCGTCACCAACTTATATGTTCATTTATAATAATTTATTACGCTCTCATAAATTATTTTAAGGAATAAATACAACAATTCTATACTTTTAGAGTGTTTTTGTTTTCCAGGGTCCTACGTAATGACCGAGGCAGAGGAGAACAAGCGCACGCGCACCGCGTACACGCGCGCCCAGCTGCTGGAGCTGGAGAAGGAGTTCCTCTTCAACCGCTACATCTCCAGGCCCCGGCGCGTGGAGCTGGCCCTTACCCTCAGCCTCACCGAGCGCCACATTAAGATCTGGTTCCAGAACCGGCGCATGAAATGGAAGAAAGAGGAGGACCGGAGGAGGGCCAGGGGGTCCGAACCAGACCAGGACTCCTCCATCACCTCTGGGGATCAGGGGGAGACAGCGGGGGGAGGGGTGTCCTCCACAAACGGACCTCACACTAACACACCTCCTGTTTCCCCTCTGCGCGGCCACACGCTCCCCGCGACAGGATCCAGAGAACCAGCATAGGCCAGCCTGTAATTGTACTTTATAAGAAAACATATTTTTTTATATTGAGAAGATTTAACTCACTTGTTCTGCAGCAATTTAAGAGATCCATGAAAACTCTCACTGACAATTTCTCTCTCTCTCTCTCTCTTCTTTTTTTTTTTTTTTAAATCTGGGCAATATGGCGCACTGCCCAGGGCACCATCCATTCAAGGAGTGGTAAAGGAACTCAAGAAAAAAAAATCTATCTATCTATCTATCTATCTATCTATCTATCTATCTATCTATCTATCTATCTATCTATCTATCTATCCAGAGTTCATATTTTTCAGTTTGTTTTATATTTCCTTATCCATGATCAGTTTAAGGTTACATTTCAGACAAAAAACAAAGACACGCTATTTTTTTTGGAATGTGTATATTTCATATATGTGCATCCATTGTATGTGTAAGTTTAAATCATGGTCACCTGCTTTTACTGATCAGTTTTTAACAGTTCATATTATGCATTTGAAATAATAAAAATATAAATGTAATATATTGAAATATTGAAGCCCTCGGTCATATAGGCAGCCTCATTGCCTAGTTTCATAACTTCGGTGCTTCAGAGAGCACTAGAGCTTGCAGACGCAGGCGGCAGATCTTCTTCACCTCAGCGATGCCGCGCGCTATCTCCGCCGCGCGCTCGTTCTGAAGGCGCTGGGAGAGCTCGCGCAAGATACGCGCCTTGTCATTCATCCGAGCGCAGATGACAAACGGGAAGCCGAAGCGCTCTTTGTACTTCTCGTTGAGTCGCGCCATCCGCGATGCCTCCGCCGGGCTCAGCTCTCCCATCCCGGCTCGGGCTTGTTCCTCTTGGGACTCCCGGGTCAGCGCACCGCTGTGGAGGTCCCTGCCTGCGAGATCTGGGTGACACCTGAGGATCCCTTCTTTACCTGGACACACATAGACTGATGATTTCTTACCGGATGCAATATTTAGATATCTAAGATACATGAAGCCAAATCATTCAAGCTCACCCGACTCTGGTAAAGCATCGATGAAGTCATTAATTTCAGCTTTTAAAGCATTTATGCTCATAAAGGGATGGCTGGTCCACACAGCGGCTGTTATTAGAGGGCATTTTTCCACCACATTTCCGAAAATATTCACGAATTCCTCATAAGAAAGAGCATTTACAGCTGAAATGTCCATGGTTTTGTGAGAACAGTTTTTGCACTGTTTTTTTGTTTTTATGACCTTCGGACACTTATCAGGTTAACGCAATGCTGGACATTCACCTCTCAAACATCGGATATCTGGCGACACCTAGCGGTCAATAGGAGAGAGGGCTACAGTGTCAACATGCAGACTTAAGTCATTTCCTTCAAGAATTATAGCTCTGATCTTTTCATAAAAACGCATGGATTTCAAACATTGTTAGGTTATATTTAAGATTTATCTACATTTTATCTTACTCTTAACTATGGATAATGTATGTAATCAATTCATCTTCTGAGGAAGATTCTTAGTCATTAAGGTCAGCCATTTCAAAAGTAAGAAAACTTCAATAAAATAACCAAACAACTGGACTTTTTTTTCCAAGTTTGAACACATTTTTTAAAATTTTTGTTATAAAGCTTGGAACTCAACGCTAATCCAGACATTTTGAATTGAAAAAGCTTCCTGGATGGGAAGCAAAAGTCTTCAAACTTAGAAAACAAAGTCCAGTGGATTTTTTTTCTTTTTTTTAAAACTTTTCTGGAATAAAGTGTTAGCTATTGATTTAGAGTCAGGTTATTTTTCCATTTTTAATCTTCATGTTATCCATAAATTATAAGCAAAAAAATAAACTGCACATAAAATCTTTACATTAAACCTTACACCAAGAACTAAAACTCCTCAAGCTGTTGCATTAATGAAAATGCAACTTTTAATAGTGGTATCTAGCTTACTTATTCACTGGTAGCCTGTAAGTGGTTGATCTAATTCAGATTTTAAATTTTTGTAGTGAGAGAACATGTTTCACCTTTATCTACTCATCCCTGGAGATTTGACAGTTGATATTATTCATAATGACCGACTGCAAAAAAAAAAAAAAAAAAAAAACACAGAGTAAAGTCAAAGAAATTCAAAGTATTAGACTTTCCTGATACCAAATAGTTTAAATTTGCTTGGCATCAGGGTGCATTCAATCAAATCAATGCTTTTAAAGGCTTTAATAGCGCTCGCTGAAAAAATGTTTTAGGCTAAACTGAAATCAGAAATAGAATACTCATATTTATTCGTGTAAAACAAAATGTGTACTTATTTCAAGTATACATTTTGAAAAAAAGTTGTATTTCCTCAACACGATTCTAGAGACTACTTCCTGGCCCAGAAGTAAAGTAGCAGTTTTCTGTACTGGCAGATGGCACTGTTGAAATAAACATAAAGGGGTCCAGAACTGCTTCTCAACTGCCGTCTCTGAGTTTGCCGAAGCATATTTGAAATTGACGCTACAGATGATATTAAGAAAGTTAGTTACGGTAATAAATTATAAACAGTTTGACAATGAACACATTGAAATAAACCTAACTTAATCCCACCTCTGTCCACCTCTCCTCAGCATGCCCAGAGACAAGAAAAAGCAAAAGCATGTTTAGTTATTTTTACTGTTGTAGATAAAAAAATATGAAATAAATAAAAAAAACAGGAAAGCATAATTTCACATGCAGTTACCCACGACTGAAGGAACACAAAACTGAAAAAACATGAATAATAATAAATGCAAAAGAAACAAAGACATTAAGAAGATCCCATGTTCAGCCTTAGAGAAGTTTTTACTTTTTTCTCAGTTTTAGACCTGATACTAGTCTCGTACACTGACCTCTCTGTAAACATACACACTTATTAGTCCAAAAAGGAGAAGAATATTCTAAGTGTTATTTTAATATGTTAATACACAATATGTAAAAATAAAAGTTCTCATATAACCTTTAGAAGAATACAAAATCTTGAATCTATCCTTTTTTATTGCCAAACATGTTTCCCGGTTAAATGTACATTTAACATAATTAAACTTATAAACAGACTTAATTTGGCTTCATTTGATTAAGCTGTAATCAACTCCACTGCGTTAATCATTAAAAAGACTCAAACTCACTGCAGATCCAGACATTTGAATTGAGAAAGCTTCCTGGAGGGGAAGCGAAATGTCTTCCAACCTTGGAAACCAAGTCCAGTGGATTGTTTTTTAAACTTTTACGGAATGACTATGACTTGGATGACTGACAATCTTCATCAGCATATTAAAAGTGCTTGTTTAGTCTTTTTATAACATGTAAAAGAGAGCTACCGAGTTCCAGGTTCTCTTTCAGAAACTCCCATTTGTTGTCAGATTAGAATCTTTGAAGGTGATTTAGATGCAGTTAGGGCTGGACAATAAATCAATATATATATATATATATATCGTGATAGACACCTGCTCAATATCAATGACTCCGATAAAATTTGTAATAATTGCACCGAAGTCTAATCCAGAACCACGTGGTTTCCATGGGAATGGATAGAGATAAGGAGTTAGCCGCTCAACCCAAGTAAACACCTAAAGTTAGTGGTAGGTTACACATTTTTAATGGTTAAATATTATTCAGAATATATATTTAAAAAAAACTAATCAATAAATGTTGCTATGGACTACTATGAGTGGCTTATATTGAGGTTCATATCCAGCTGTATCATCCAGCCCTAGATGCAGTCGTTGTCATTAGGTCCAACCATGTGGATCCTCTGCGGCTGAGGTTGGGATCTCTGTTGGAAACAAAAACAATTCATAGTTATTTTCTTTGATGTTCATACTTGTGTCCGCTCTGATGCCATGTATGATCCATACCTTCTTCTTAACGTAGTACAGCAGCGCTAAGACTAGTAGCAGAGCCAGGAGCATAAGGCATATAAGCAGCCATAAGAGATTACCACCAGAGGGTTGATCAGCTAAAACACATAAACATGGAAATAGTCAGCTGTTTTTACCTGATTTAATCAGTTAGGAATGTGATTTATTAAATATCCTTTAAGGATTAATAAAGTATCTTTATATTGAATTGATTGAGCTTGTGTTACCTCTGGGCGGTAGGACCGTAAACGGGTCCAGGTTCACTGGTTCACTGCACCACTTTCCAGCTTTATTAGTCAGGCAGAACTTTACTTTCTTGTTAGCCACTTGAGATAGCTTTAAAAAGCTGTTAAGTGTCTTGTTACAGAAGCCATCAGAAGCTGTGTGGTGTTTCTCATGAATCACTTCCCAGGATGAGTTGGTTTCAGAGCTGAAGTAAAATAAAGAGCACCAAGCTTCAACAACCAGGCCTGCAGATGTATCTGAGCTGAGCTGCTTCGTATCACTCTTACCTGTTGCTGAATGAGCTGGACATCCATGTAGTCTGTGCTGGCAGGACACTTTTAGTCTCAACACTTAAGTTATCACCTTCTTTTTGAATAAGGAGGTTTGGTTTTTCTGCAAGGAATTAAATGGATTATAGATGATATTATATGTAATAGCTTTTTGATATTGACATTGGTGCAGAGAGGATTGGGCGCAGTCTGAGGTGAATTGCCTGGCCTCTGCAGTCTAAATCCTTGAGAGAGGCTGGACTCTATTCTACTTTGGAGTAGCCCACAGGTAGAGACAGGAGGCAGGTTTAGGCCTGCTTGTCTCCACTCTGCTCAGGCGTCTCGTATTGGAGTTTACATCAGTTAATGAGAGGGTTGCATTTCTTCGAGGAACGGAGCCCCAGCTCTGAACCCCAATGGCGTTTTATTATTGGACATCTGTGCACATCCCGAATTGAGACTTGGACACCATTTTCAAGCACAAGGTGTCCTATGAAGCCAGGCTGGCTTGTGGGACTTCTGAAGCAGTGAAAAGGTATGGGGCATAGCATGCTGCTGCCCAAATGGTTGCTGCAACAAAAACTTGGGCCTGGGAAGAGTTTGGAGAGGCCATGGAGAAAGACTGTTGGCTAGCCTCAAGCAATTCTGGGAAACCGTACGGCACCTGCATGGGTTAAAGCAGTGCTTTGCCAACACTGTTTTCAGTACGAAAGGAGAGCTGCTGACCTTGAAAGAGGACATCTTTGGATGGTGGACCAGGGTGGTGGTTCCCCTGGATGAGAAGGGGGACTGAAGGGTGTGTTTCAAATATAAAGGGATCACACTTTTAAACCTCCTATGCCAGGAATGCCTTTGCCAGGTAGCTGAAGAAGAGACTCTGGCTAAGTTTCGAACCTCAGCTTCAGGAGGAGCAGTGTAGTTTTCTACCTGGCCATGGAACGATGGGACAAGCCACTCTTTGCAGGGTTTCCGAGTTTGCCCAATCGGTTCACGTGTTTTGTGGACCTGGAGAAGGCCTTAGACCAAGTCCCTGGTGGTGCCCTGTGGGGGGCGCCTCAGGAGAATGGACTCGGGGTCTCTTTACTACTTACGTGCCATCCAGCCTCTGTACAAACAGAGAAGGAGTTTGGTCCCCCATTGCTGACATTAAATCAGACTTGTTCCTGGTGGACTGACAGGGCTGCCCTCTGTCACTGGTCCTGTTCATAACCTTTATAGACTCAATTTCTAGGTGCAAAAATGGCCCAGAGGGGGTCTGGTTTGGGGACCAGCGTATCTCATCACTTTTTTTTGTGGATGATGTGGTTCTGCTGGTTCCCTCCTAACAAAAGCTACATCATGATGCACTGTGGTGGTTCACAGCTGAGTGTGAAGGATAGGGATGAGAATCAACAGCTCCACGTTCAAAACCATGGTTCTCGATGGGGAAACAGTGGTTGTCCCATTCAGATTGGAGGAAAGTTCCTGCCTCAAGTGGAGAAGTTCAAGTATCTTGGTGTCCTGTTCATAAGTAAGGGGAGAATGGAGCACGGTTTTGATACACTGATCGTGACCCTGCAACAGAGTGGTGACCCTGCACTACTCTGTTGTGGTAAAGAGAGAGCTACGCAAATATGTTCCTACCCTCACCTATGGTCATGAAATCTGGATCATGATAAAAGAAAGAGATCCCAGATATAAGCAACAAAATGAGCTGGGAGTGTCTGCTGAGACTGCTGCCCTGGGACCCCGTCTTGGATAAAGAGGAAGTTGACAAGAATGAGAACACTGACACAGAGTTTACCTACCTGCAATACAAACTGCTGTTTTCCTTGTTTCTTTTTTCCCTCCAGCCTCCAGGTGTAGCATATATACTCCTGACTGGAGTTTATTACAATACTTCACAGTCCTGAGAAAATAATGGCATAGTAAACAGAGTTATATGATTTAAAGAAAGTAGAATCCTTTCTCTATCAGGGCTCTGAATAATAGGAAAGAAAAAAAATTTCTGCATCCTATAATTTAAAGTTTGTGAATCCAGCTTTAGCAGCCACTCTTTTAATAATAATCTAAGTTTAATAATTGAACTGTATTAACTTTATTTTTTTTTAAACAACAGTCTATTTCTCAGATTTTTATGAATGTTTGCAGATGCAGTGTTCTTCCAATAATTTCCTCTTGCCACTTTTTCTTTCAAGTGAAGTCAGGTTTATAAAGCGCACAACTAACTTTCCCGACTGAGCTGTAGAGCTCTGCAGCCTCTGCAAAGTTACCATGGGCTTTCTAGCTCAGAGATGCTTTTCTGACACTTAAAGTTGTGACATACAATTCCCACAGTCAAATACTGAAATACAAAGCTCTTTGAAATGTTTCAATATTTGGACATTTTTTTAAACACCATCCTGCTTTAAACTTTAAGCTTAATACTTTAAACTGCATTTTCTCCCTGACCTGTCTGCTCTCTCCCTTGGACTTTCAGTTATATTTTGTCCACTAATCTTCTCAAAGAAACCTCTAAAACTCTCCCCAGTTTTGTTTTTAATAGATAACACATAGGTACAGTAAATTCATTTACCAAACTGCTTGTGCTGTATTTATGTTTGGGAGTATTAGAGTAAGGGTCTGGACATTGGTACACACTCCACTTTTCAGATTTATTCATAAAAAAATACATTCTGTAAAGTCACTTTCATTATGTTACTGCACATAGAGACTGCTGTGGGTGAACATAGAAAACCAATTTAGAAATATTCCAGAATAACCCTTACAGTAAATGAGGTTGAAAGAAAATGACTTTATGAAACTACCTGTCATTTAACTTCCTCTGGTTCCTGCTGCATTTAGTAACACTCCCATCAGGAGCCTCCCAGTAGCAGTGCTGGAGCACAGGGTGGTAGGAAACTTCTGCTTCTAAGCAGGAGCTGCTGTGATTTACAACAACCTGTTCAGGCAGCTGGGAGGATAGTAAGCTCTCAGCTGATGAGACACAAAATAAATGACACATTGTTCAACTGGAGTTAATTATCAATCACATTTATAAAACCGTAAACCTTAAGATTTAGTATTCCTGGAGAGAGCTGGTACTAACTTGTGACATGGACATCCACAGATTTAGCTGCACCTTTTGGGTTGTTACAGGTGTATGAGCCGTTGTGCTCTTTGGCAACTGATGCTATGAAAGCATACAGCATCTCAGTGCCATAGTGTTTATCCCTTATAATTCGGTACTGAAAGAAAAACAAACATTTAATCATTTAGAGGCATGTAATGTGGTTGAATTTGATTTATATAATATAAGTCATAAAAACATCAGTACATAAACAGCATAAGCTCATGCTACATTGGATCCTCTTGAGGCCTCCTGTCAAGTTGTTTATCTCTTCTGTACACACTTTGTAGTTCCTTTGTAGGTTCTGTTATATACTGATTTAGTTACAAACTAATACTACAACAGAAACTATAGTTTCATTAGTATACTGTACCTTATTTGTTTTATCCACCAAAACCTTTCCTTCATGTTGCCAGTTAATTGTTGAATCCCAACTGAATTTTCTCCTGCAGCGAAGTATCAATGGCTAACGATCACATCAGAAATCTCATCTTGTTTAACTGAATCAGCATCTAAATGTGAAACATAAAACACCTCAAGTTATTCAACTTAAGTGTATTTTGCAAAAGTCCTGAGATGAGAGCTGCTATTCACTCTGATCAGGGTTCATCTTTAGCTAAAGCTTTGACTAAGATCTGCCTTATTTTCATCTGTTTGGAATTACCTAAGTCACACAGCTGGGTGCATTCTTCTCCTTCATCGTTAGAGGCGCAACACATCACTGCTGCTGTGTCATAATAAGCAGTAGTTGTGACTGAGATCTCTGCTCCCCAAGTATCGAGGTCTTTTCTATTCCCCTGAGAGGAACTGAAAAGAAACTGATGAATCGAGGAGTCAAATGATAAATAAAAAAAATTCTAATAATAAAATAAAGTGTGAACTGAGAACATTATCATCTTACCGAGACCACTGAACTTTGGGCCGTGGAGAACCATCAGATTTGCATTTGAAGTGAGGAGATATATTGGGGTTATCCATATTATCCAGAATCAGCTGTGGTTTATATGGACATTCTGAGAAACGTGAGTCAAACGGTTTAACATGGTTTTCATTTAAATAACTCATTTGTAAAAAAGACATTTTTTTCCTCCCTGTTATGCAAAGAAGAAGATTAAAAGGAACAAAGCTGCTACTCACCACCTACATGAAGATCAACAGTTATTGAGAAACTGGTCCCATTCAGACTTTCACAGCCCAGATTGTATGTTCCAGAATCCTTCCTTAAAGCTTGTGGAATGACCGTGGGTACACGCTCTTCTCTGGAGTCATTTAAGAAGATGTCACAATTTGAATGATTAAAATTTAGGATACCCCAACCCCTCATTAAAACAATATTATGATTACATCTTCAGCGGAGGGCCTTGAGCTCCACTCCACTGACAGACGGTGGAATCAGGGAGGCCATCCAGGGAGACGACGAGTTTTTGACCAAATGACACCTTCAAGCCGACAGGATCAGAGGCATTCAGGTGGTCAGCTGGATGAAAGCAATTCACCTGCAAGGCAGGAATCAACCTTTATCTTATGGTTTCATCTTTGTACTAAAGCAGTAATGAGGTGGTTGCTTCCCAAAATGTAGGAAGGAATTTGTAACCCTTTATAAAGTAGACAACAAATGTTAAAATACATTGTCTAATGGAGCAGAGTACAAGAGAGCTCCCGACATGCATGACATAAAATAACATTGGAAAGACAGGAGGTGTTAAAGTTAAACTTTTTTTTTTACCTTCCAACTGGAAACACAGTTCTGATTCCAAACACCCTCAGAGTAAAGAATGTTAACAGCACACAGCAGAAGAACAGACAAAAAGAATATTGCTTAGACACATTTAAAGGAAGTTTGAAAAGGTACCACAATGCAGACCTCCTTGGTGGAGGTAATATCAACCATACAAAAGGCAAATATGGACATAGAGCAAAATCCCTCCCATCCCACTCCCCTACGCTGAATCAGATAGAAACATAAATCCATTAATGTTTCTATCCATTAATGGATAATAATGTAAATATGATGTTAAATCCATTTCACGTCATATTTACATTTTGAGCTGAATGACTTCAGCTTACATGAGCTTGCATATCACAATGTAAAAGAAAAGCCAATTGGATGTGAGCAGTTTTGCAAGGCATAATGAGAACTTCTCCCTGAGAAGTGTTCTGAATTTTTGAACAGCTTTAATGTATTTATTTTTAAACCTATTCGTGTATTAGTATTTTTAATATAGACCTACTTATACAGCCATCAATACATATGTAAATATGCCCCCCCTCCACACACACACACACACACACACATACACACACACACACACACACACACACACACACACACACACATTCTGGTTTTTGCCCTTTGTGGGGTCCTCCAGTTTTTTGGTGCTTTATGGGATCCACCCTTTCCAGTGGTCCTACACTGCTGTAAAAACAAGGGATGGATTTAAAAAAAAATCCCAATCCTTAAAATCACTTCAGTTCAACAAATTTCTAAAGTTTTATCCAAAAAGGCATTTGGCGACTTGTGGGATCCCGTTCCTAGCATTGCCAACTTGTGGGGTCCACTCGCATACACACATACATATCAAGTTTTTATGTGTTTATGGGGCCCAAGGTCGCCATTAGCAGATGCTGAGACCAGCCTTGATTATTAATCCCAGTTTCCGCATTTTGGACTAAAATAGTTATTTTTGTAATGAGGAATGATGCACAGTTCTGCCATACAGTCTGACCATTTGAGGTAATCACTGCAATCGGGTGTTTTCTGTAATGGTCAATCAGATGACACCTGTTGACAGGTATGTTGGTCCACTGTTAATGAACAAGCTGCTTAAAGGTTGAATATGGAAGACGGGCAGAACAGCAAGATCACGTGTGTCTAAGTTGTAGTTGCAACGGCCGAAAAACAACTCCAGCTGCTGGGATCCCAGGCTCGCTGCTGATATGCAAGTGACCACCAGCCTGCAGCATGTCCTACAAGTAACACGGAGGAGTTTATAACTCACAGCTAACATTAGCCACGTTAGCAAACAAGCTAGCTTTCCGATCGAGGAGAAAAGTCACCATTTCCATGTTTTTGATGGCTTAGAAAACGTTTATATGGGTCGTCTTAACCTAAATCTGTCAGGTCACTCCTCTTCAGGAACACCTCCAGGACTCTGAAGCAGCTGCTTGACTCACAGTCTTCCCTGTTTCCCCCTGTGCTAGCTTGGCAACCGTGCCAAACATACTATTGCATACAATGGCTTATAGATGTAAACATAATGCCATTGTCAAAGCCGTAAATATTTTTATAATTATTATCAAGCTAAAAATAATTTTTTAATGAAATGTTATACTTTCATTCTGCAACCCTCCAACCTTTAAATTTCTCTGGGACACTTTTTAAAAATTATTTTTCAAACAAAATTCAAAATCAATATTCAAATAAAATAAAATTATAATTTCATAATCTTTATTTTTTTTTTTACCATTTTCAGTTTCTACTTATTTGAATCACTATTGTGAATTTAACCTTTTCTTTAACGGGAGGGGATGTAAACTTTCAAGCACAACTGTTTATGTAAAACCTTCCATTTGCCTTGAGACATAAAAAGAAGCACGCTACACATAAAATTTTCTGACAAAAATGAAAAGACCACTTTTATTGTTGGCATTAACAGTTTATGCCACAGTTGTCAAACTGAGTCCCTTTCCAAACAGATTAATCCAAAAATATGCAGTAGGGTTTTCGGTGCCGCTATGCGGCAACAACAGCCTCAGCCTGAACTTATATCTAAACCAAACAGTTTTTGTTGTACAAATACTGAAATTACATGCTTTTTAGGACTGCATCCTTAGTGTCATGTTAAGTTTTTTTTTTTTTTTCCAGTGAAAACTCAAATTTAAAAGGCATCATACAGAGATATTTAAACAAATAAAAAATCCTTTGAAATAACATTTCCTGCGCCCGTAATAAAAATAAATTAAAAATAAGATAAAATAAGAATTGTGAAATGTGTATATTTGTAGGCCACGGGACAGTAACAAATCCTGAGCAAACCTCTACAACAGAACACATAAAGGATTAAACATTTTAAGATCCTACCTCAAATGCTTCGGTTTTACCTCAGTTCCATTAGGTGCTGTCACACTACACCTTTCTTCTCAGGGCTGTAATGTGATTTTTAATGTAGTATTTAACTGCTTTCCAGTCCCTGTTTCTGAGAGCTTGAGGTTCTGCATCAATACAGCGCTGACACTCTTCTTTACCAGGAACTTGACCTCTTCTGATAAATCTCTTCAAATGTGTGTTCACTGCAGCACACTCGTCTGGGGTCCAGCTTCTCCTCACAGCAGTTTGCTTTCCTATGTAGGCAAAAAACACAAAATATTGTAGGTTTTCTTTTGTGAAGAAAATTTTAGTCACTTAAAATAGCAATACTGTTTGATAGATAAAATATGTCATACCCGTAACAAGTTACAAGTAACACAAAAAAAAATTCTGTATTCACAGAGTTTTCCAGTATAATTTTCCACGCAACAATTAAGCAGTAACTGTTATGTTCTGTCATCTAAAAGCAATTTTTCTCTTTTTTGTAGGGTTGCAACGGTACACAAAAATCACGGTTTGGTGTGTACCTCAGTAGGGATGAGCAAGTTCACCACTATCTGTGTCTGTTCAACCATCTAAATTATCTGCATCTATACTCGAAGTGGGTGGGGTCTAAACGTGAAGTGGGCTTGGTTCAAGCAGAGCTGGATGGGGCTTAAATTGGTACATCGTTTTTATTTTATTTTTTTTTAATTTAGACTTTAGAAACTCAGAAGCTGATCAAATATCGGGTTAAATATCGGTGGGGTGGCCGATGTCCGATATTCAGTTTTAAGGCCGATACCGATAGGGGGCCGATTATATCGTGCATCCCTACACCATAGCATACAAGTCAGCATAGATGAATGTGTTTAAATGTACTTTTACCTGTGTGCAGGGCTCATCTGGGATTGGTCCATCATTTAACGTCATAGGAACAGGGCTGGTCTCATTCTCAACTGCTGCTGCAGGAGTCTGAAGGCCTTTCACCTGAAATATAGAAGGACAAGAATGGATTTAGAACTGAATGAAGAGACATTCACAGGCAAATAAGATCATCTAGCGGTCAAACATTTCTGAAACAGCACAGTGCTTCAACCAAGAGCACAGCATGGTCTTTAGGACTCATCAGCAGCTATTATGATCGGATCAATGCAAAGATTGTGTTTAAAGATGCAACAGCTCAGAGAGTGCACAATGATGAATGTTAAAATCACAGCTGAGGTCATGTCAGGTGTTACCATGGTGCCTTAAAAACAGTTACAGTAAGAACTGGACGGGAGGGCCCCACATGGCTCACACTAGAGACAAGGGAGTGTGTAAAGGAGGGACTACAGAAAGAATGCATTTGGAAAATTGAAGGACCCCATAAGGACATGACTGGAAACATGACGGTGTGTGTGACATTACCTGGTCTTTACCACTCAATAGCTTCACCTGATAACTTTCAAGTCATGCAAGCATTGAGCCACTTTAATAATAGAACACCATAGCATACAAGTCAGCATAGATGAATGTGTTTAAATGTACTTTTACCTGTGTGCAGGGCTCATCTGGGATTGGTCCATCATTTAACGTCATAGGAACAGGGCTGGTCTCATTCTCAACTGCTGCTGCAGGAGTCTGAAGGCCTTTCACCTGAAATATAGAAGGACAAGAATGGATTTAGAACTGAATGAAGAGACACTAACGGGCAAATAAGATCATCTAGTGGTCAAACATTTCTGAAACAGCACAGTGCTTCAACCAAGAGCACAGCATGGTCTTTAGGACTCATCAGCAGCTATTATGATCGGATCAATGCAAAGATTGTGTTTAAAGATGCAACAGCTCAGAGAGTGCACAATGATGAATGTTAAAATCACAGCTGAGGTCATGTCAGGTGTTACCATGGTGCCTTAAAAACAGTTACAGTAAGAACTGGACGGGAGGGCCCCACATGGCTCACACTAGAGACAAGGGAGTGTGTAAAGGAGGGACTACAGAAAGAATGCATTTGGAAAATTGAAGGACCCCATAAGGACATGACTGGAAACATGACGGTGTGTGTGACATTACCTGGTCTTTACCACTCAATAGCTTCACCTGATAACTTTCAAGTCATGCAAGCATTGAGCCACTTTAATAATAGAACACCATAGCATACAAGTCAGCATAGATGAATGTGTTTAAATGTACTTTTACCTGTGTGCAGGGCTCATCTGGGATTGGTCCATCATTTAACGTCATAGGAACAGGGCTGGTCTCATTCTCAACTGCTGCTGCAGGAGTCTGAAGGCCTTTCACCTGAAATATAGAAGGACAAGAATGGATTTAGAACTGAATGAAGAGACATTCACAGGCAAATAAGATCATCTAGCGGTCAAACATTTCTGAAACAGCACAGTGCTTCAACCAAGAGCACAGCATGGTCTTTAGGACTCATCAGCAGCTATTATGATCGGATCAATGCAAAGATTGTGTTTAAAGATGCTACAGCTCAGCAAGTGCACAATGATGAATGTTAAAATCACAGCTGAGGTCATGTCAGGTGTTACCATGGTGCCTTAAAAACAGTTACAGTAAGAACTGGACGGGAGGGCCCCACATGGCTCACACTAGAGACAAGGGAGTGTGTAAAGGAGGGACTACAGAAAGAATGCATTTGGAAAATTGAAGGACCCCATAAGGACATGACTGGAAACATGACTGTGTGTGTGACATTACCTGGTCTTTACCACTCAATAGCTTCACCTGATAACTTTCAAGTCATGCAAGCATTGAGCCACTTTAATAATAGAACACCATAGCATACAAGTCAGCATAGATGAATGTGTTTAAATGTACTTTTACCTGTGTGCAGGGCTCATCTGGGATTGGTCCATCATTTAACGTCATAGGAACAGGGCTGGTCTCATTCTCAACTGCTGCTGCAGGAGTCTGAAGGCCTTTCACCTGAAATATAGAAGGACAAGAATGGATTTAGAACTGAATGAAGAGACACTAACGGGCAAATAAGATCATCTAGTGGTCAAACATTTCAGAAACAGCACAGTGCTTCAACCAAGAGCACAGCATGGTCTTTAGGACTCATCAGCAGCTATTATGATCGGATCAATGCAAAGATTGTGTTTAAAGATGCAACAGCTCAGAGAGTGCACAATGATGAATGTTAAAATCACAGCTGAGGTCATGTCAGGTGTTACCATGGTGCCTTAAAAACAGTTACAGTAAGAACTGGACGGGAGGGCCCCACATGGCTCACACTAGAGACAAGGGAGTGTGTAAAGGAGGGACTACAGAAAGAATGCATTTGGAAAATTGAAGGACCCCATAAGGACATGACTGGAAACATGACGGTGTGTGTGACATTACCTGGTCTTTACCACTCAATAGCTTCACCTGATAACTTTCAAGTCATGCAAGCATTGAGCCACTTTAATAATAGAACACCATAGCATACAAGTCAGCATAGATGAATGTGTTTAAATGTACTTTTACCTGTGTGCAGGGCTCATCTGGGATTGGTCCATCATTTAACGTCATAGGAACAGGGCTGGTCTCATTCTCAACTGCTGCTGCAGGAGTCTGAAGGCCTTTCACCTGAAATATAGAAGGACAAGAATGGATTTAGAACTGAATGAAGAGACATTCACAGGCAAATAAGATCATCTAGCGGTCAAACATTTCTGAAACAGCACAGTGCTTCAACCAAGAGCACAGCATGGTCTTTAGGACTCATCAGCAGCTATTATGATCGGATCAATGCAAAGATTGTGTTTAAAGATGCTACAGCTCAGCGAGTGCACAATGATGAATGTTAAAATCACAGCTGAGGTCATGTCAGGTGTTGCCATGGTGCCTTAAAAACAGTTACAGTAAGAACTGGACGGGAGGGCCCCACATGGCTCACACTAGAGACAAGGGAGTGTGTAAAGGAGGGACTACAGAAAGAATGCATTTGGAAAATTGAAGGACCCCATAAGGACATGACTGGAAACATGACGGTGTGTGTGACATTACCTGGTCTTTACCACTCAATAGCTTTTCTTCTGTTGCTGCAGGAGCTTGGGTTTTTTTCACCTGGATCACAGAAAGAACTCATCTTAAATCACATCACAGATCAAAGACTCAACACATTTACATTGTCATAGTCCAGAGTAATATTAGAAACATCGATAATATCAGAGAAATACAACATTTGTTTTTTGTAAAAAATAAAAATAAAAAAATCAAGAAATCTACACCTAATCTAACCAACTCACCTCAGTACGCCAAGGCCATTTTGCTTTACCATAGTCATAATCAGTTTCATCTCCTATTCCTATTTTCTTAAGAGAAAAAAGGCACAAGAGTGGCTTGTCGTCAACTATGATTTTTTTCATGGCACAATTCGGATTTTTGTGGTTGTCATTGACTAGTCGTCCGAGAGATCCATCTTCTTCAGATGCATCCAGGCTGAAAAGCATAAGAAAAATTGTTGTAGTTTAAAGTTTTATTGAAAGATGCATTTTCAAAAGAAATTCCTAAGAGTAGGGATGCACGATATTGGGATTTTGGCCGATATCCGATATTTAAAACTAGTGTTGCACCGATACCAGTATCGGACGGGGCCCCGATACTGCCCTAAAATGGTGGTATCGGTAAGTACCAACAAATAGGGCACCGATACCATTTTGAGAGCCATAAGTTTATTCAACTATTGTCACCCATTCCTGGTAGGCAATACAAAGTTCTACTGGATTCACTTTGTATTAGATTTTTTCCTGCTTCACAAAGGTAGGCAGCAGCTTTACAAAGCCATGATGGCAATTATTTTACATTATTATGGTATCGGTATCGGCCGATACTGCACAGCCAGGTATCGGGTATCGGTATCGGGGCCAAAAATGGCATTGGCGCAACACTATTTAAAACTCATGTAGCCGATAACCGATATCGATACCGATGTTAAAGCTGGACAAAAATAAGTAGTCATTGAAAATAGCAGTTTTGTTATCCATTTCTGATCAAATTGATTTTTAAAAACGCGGTATCGATCTATTTTACTTTCAAAATCTGGTGAAATTTCATCGTTCTGTTACAAACTCTCGTGATATTTTGCAAATTCTTGTGAGATTTTGTTAGTAAAATAGATCGATACCGCATCAATATATCAACATATAAAAATATGGCAAGATTTTGTGAATTTTTGGGGGATTTCGTAGCATAACGATGACATTCAGCAATATTTCATTAGTAAAAGAGATTGATATGGTGTTTTTAAATGGCAATATATCAGCATATGAAGATATTGGGATATTTTAATGTATCAATATTTTTTCCCTCATCTTTAGAAGTTTTTAAGTCTGTAAAAAAGAAGTTTTTGAGGAAGAAGAAGTAGTAGTATTTATTTATTTTTTTTTAGACTTTAGAAACTCAGAAGCTGATCAAATATCGGGTTAAATATCGGTGGGGTGGTCGATGTCCGATATTCAGTTTTAAGGCCGATACAGGCCGATACCGATAGGGGGCCGATTATATCGTGTATCCCTACCTAAGAGTATGTGTCTTTTAAAACATTATTCAAATATTAAACCCATGTTTTGGGGTCAAATCAGAATTTATCCTATCTAACAAAACATCCATCTATTCATGCTTACCACAGGCGATTGTTCCGATACTCAAAGTCAAAGAGAAATGTGCTTTCAATCTTTGAGTATTGTCTTGACCGGCATTCTTCCTGTGTCAGGAGTTTACCCCAATACTCCAAGACGAAGTCCCCTGGTTCAATGGGGTGTGTGGCAAAAACTCCTCTTCCTATAGTAATATAAAATAAGTCAGCATTTAATTCTGGGAACTCAAAAAGAAATGCAGCACTCTTTAAAAGTGAGGTTGAGGTTCTTATGTCTCATTGTATTACCTGCAGACAATGCTCAGCACTCTCCAAGTTGTGTTGCTCAGTGTACAGGTAAACTGCTTTTTTGATCAGCCTTTATGTGGCCATCTAATGTTTTTGATGCTGACCCATCCAGATCAATGTATCATTGAGGTCGCGTCTGCTCTATTCTGTTCCCTTTACCTGAGAGTGCTGTGTACCATTTAGTGCAGGCAACACACTAATGAAGCATACGGACATCATACAACTCAGACTTTTGACAGACAGATGTACTGTATTGATCCCAAACTGGGAAATTACAGTTTAGCAGCAGCAAGGCATGGAACTAAAATAGCAATATTTATATATACACAGGTACTACCAAAACAATTAAATATATCCTGAAAAAGTTCTTGTATTTTCAACTTAAAGAGTGCAATTGACATATCACAAACGCAGACATAGGCAAAGGCTGAGTTGGAATTCAGTGTTAAGCCCCTTTCAGACTTGCACTGGAAAGGGGTAATATTGTGGAGTCTGTCCTTTATACCGCAAGTCATCTGTCCTGCTGATTGTACAATTAAGATAAATACAGCTCATCAACAAATGAAATAGGCTGATTATTGACAGAACTGGGTCCTTGTGACACATAAGTCCTGCCTTTTCCTGCATGATGCTGAGTTCTAGTTTTGTTAGCTGTAAAAAGAAACCTTTTTCAACATCATTTTATGCCAAATCATATTTATACTGAACCACAACAAAGTGCAGTAACTGGTGTGATTAATATTCTTAAGCACTGCATTAGGCTGGATGGTGTTGTATTTATTTTCTTTTATTCTTGGAGTATGACTTTCTTCCACAAAACCAAATAAACAAACAAATTTTCATCAAGTTCATTTGGGAATTTTAAATTGACCGAATAGTTACTGTGGCGAAAAAATTCAAAGCTGGACAGATCTGCATCTTCTCTGATGGAGCATGTGGCCTCCTGCATTTCAACAGATTTCAACAACAGCACAGTGGTCATGGTAGTTGATGCTACACAGGCTTGATGTATGTAAAATAACTTTAAAGTTTTTTAATAAGAAAAGAATTGAAGGAGGAAGTCCAGCTTTTAAAAGAAATTCTACATGAATTATGACATTTATTTTTAAAGGCCCCATATTACCAATTGCTTCTGAAATGCACAAGTTGTGTCAAGGAATCTTCTGTCACTTACCTTTACAACTGTCAATGAATCTCGAAATAAACCCATCCTTGTCAGTGCAAGACAGAATATCTGTCTTTGCTTCATCTATGGGCTTTTTCCTTCTCCTCCTTGTGGACATAATGCTCTGTGAAAAAAATGTAATCATTTAGTCGAGGCAATCTTCCATGAACACCACAAACCTCAGTCTGATGCTCATTTCAGAGTGTGTATTTATATTAGGGCTGCAACTAACGATTATTTAAAAAAAAAATTTATATTAACCTCTTTATTCCAAAATAAACATTTTAGACAGAACTAACAAGCACACAAGTACAGGTTGCTCATTAACTGTACTGGTGCAATATGAAAAATAAATGTTTGTGTTAAAACTACGCAAACTTACATGAGAAATGTAGCTGTACATCCACAAAATATAGGATACTTTGTTTCATAAAGTGCAAAAAAATACATTTTTGTTTTAAAAGCCCCTAAGGGGTTCAAACAATAGGTCCCCCCATTTCAACAAATTAGTTTTTTTAGACTAGAAGAGTTCTGCCTTTTAAGACAGGAAAGTATAGCAGTTAAAGTTGCTACTTGAGAAAATACTGAACCATAGAGATAAAAATAGCCCTGTGATTCAAATTATAAATTGTATTTGGAATAAAAATGAGAGAACTAGGGGTGTTAAAAAACACATCCTCCAAAGACAGATATTTACATGGGAATGTGGCATATAATTAATTACTGATCCTGCATATACATATACTGATCCTGCTGGATTTTATTCTGCTTTACTTCCATAAATTGCAGGATCTTCTAAACTTTAAAAGCCTTGCCCTCATAATTTGCAAGTTAGTTTATTTATAAAGAAAATATAAATGCTGCTTAACCTAATTCAAATGAAATTAAAAGTAAAATAAGTAGCCAACCTTATCACTGTCTGTAACCTTCTAACACGGTAAGGAAAGCATCAGATGAGCTACCTGAGAAACTAACGTTACGTTTCCCCACTTTAAAACCAAACAAACATGGTCGCTCATCCTGCTGATCAGCTCTCTTCACGCCATCGAAGGCTCCAACGTGTTTTCTTTTCAGGTGCTGCATCATAACAGTGGTGCTTCCGTGCCATGTTCATTTGTTTTTACAAAAGTTGCATGTTACGACTTTTTTCACTTTACAAAGCGCAGGCTATTTTAATTATTGTGATCAATTTGCGCCTTCAATCCCGGCACATGCGCGCTTCATTTGCAGTCTGGACGCTGAGGGTAAACATCTCCTGCGGGAGAACGGGGTTAGGATGGGGGAGGCGCCCCACGGCAGAGTAGGAACGATGCATGCTTTCACGTAAGAGTCTCCAAAAGCCGCCAGTGACACCAAAAAAAGTCGCCAGATTGGTCGCTAGTCACTTTTTTGAAAAATAGTCGCTGGAGGGGTCTGAAAAGTCGCTGAGTTGGCAACACTGCACCTGCGGCGCTGGCTCGCTCCGCCGTATTTTTATTCCTTCCCCCGTTTCAGTCTAGTGGATGTGATGACGGCGGCGGCGGATGACGCATTAATCGCGCAACACAACTAATCGATGATTAAATTCGTTGCCAACGCTTTTAAAAGTCGATTTTTATCGATTCGTTGTTGCAGCCCTAATATATACACATATATACATATACACACACATTATTATTATTATTATAATATATATATATATATATATATATATATATATATATATATATATATATAGCAGCAGTTCCGGTGACAGTTCCGATGGCTCGTCGAGGCTCGTTGCAGCAGTTCCAGTGGCTCGCTGGCAAATGGCACGCCGTATTACTGGCCGGAGCCACTGAATTATTTTGTCATGTAGTTTTTTGATTGCTGTTCTTTGGTATTTAATTATTTTTTGGGTATTTTTCTGGCCGTTTTTCGGCAAATGCCTTATTTATAGTACTTCTAACTAGATTGTTTTATATATATATATATATATATATATATATATATATAGATAGTGATGTTATCGCTTAATAACCTGTATTAAAATGTACTCTTTATGTGTTTTTTTTTTTTTATTGTGATGTTATTGCTTAATAAACTGCATTAAAACTTTTATACGATCACATTTACTTGATGGAACGGAGTAGTTTATCTGCCTATAAGTGGCCTCGGCCGGCAGCAGCCGCCATCAGCCTCTCCGATGTCAGGCTGTGCCGGCAGCAGCCACCATCAGCCTCTCCGATGTCAGGCTGTGCCGGCAGCAGCCAGCATCAGCCTCTCCGAACGGCAAGCTCTGCCGGCAGCAGCCACAGTGGAACAAATGCACCAGGGGACCAGGAGGGTGCCAGCGTGTTTTCATGGGGGCACAGAAAAGCATGAAATAAAAAACAGGGCAAAGGATTTAAATATATTAAGAGAACTGCATGAAGGGAAATTTCTTTTCAATTAGGTTCAATAAAAATTCTATTTCTTATGAGGTCAATATACATTCATAATTTAGGAATTTTATATATTTATTTACTTAAGTTAAAATTGCCATTTTCTATTAAATCTGAATTAGAACTCAGAAAAACTGATAAATTCAGCTATAAAAAATCAGAGTACCTTTTTTTTTTGTTTAGAAAAAAAACATTTAGCAGATGAAAAATGGGATCGCTGATGAAGGTTCTCAGTCATCCAGGTCATAGTCATTCCGTAAAAATTCAAAAAATATCCACTGGACTTGGTTTTCAAGATTTGAAGACGTTTCGCCACCTCTCCAGGAAAGAAGAATTGAGAAGAATTGAGAAAGCTTCCTGGAGAGGTGACGAAACGTCTTCAAATCTTGAAAACCAAGTCCAGTGGATATTTTTTGAATTTTTACGGAAAAATTGGATCCTATCTCAATACGACTGAAGCTATCACCTTACTGTTTTTAAGGATACATTACAATAACATCACAATATATAAAAAAAAAAAAAAACTTCTACTTAGAGATACTATAAATAAGTTATTTGCCAAAAAAAGGCAAGAACAAAAAATAATAAATAAATAAATGAATAAATTAATATGGTATTATTAAGTTATTTAACAAAAACCGGCTGCTGCAGCCACCAAAACAGTGTCAGTAAACCTGGGCGTCGCTCGGTAAGCCTACTGATAGGACAGCTGGACTGTCATCATGGTGGCAGCGTAGTGGCCGCTGCCGACGGTGGTGGCTGCTGCCAGCAGAGCCTGCCATCGGAGAGGCTGACGGTGGCTGCTGCTTGGCGGTTCTAGACAGGGGCCAATGGGAGCCAGTGCCCCTGTAAATCATGTCCTGGCTCCTGTACTGAAGAAAAAATGCTTATAAGAAATTCTAATGATGATATGCGCTGGAACAGACTTGGTTACTAATAGGTCCTTTGGATCTATTTCATTTTTTTCCTTTACTAATTATTTAAAAACAGTAAGGTGATAGCTTCAGTCGTATTGAGATAGGATCCCATTTTTCATCTGCTAAATGTTTTTTTTTCTAAACAAATAAAAAAGGTACTCTGATTTTTATAGCTGAATTTATCAGTATTTCTGAGTTCTAATTCAGAATTAATAGAAAATGGTAATTTTAACTTAAGTAAATAAATATATAAAATTCCTAAATTATGAATGTATATTGACCTCATAAGAAATAGAATTTTTATTGAACCTAATTGAAAAGAAATTTCACTTCATACAGTTCTTTTAATATATTTAAATCCCTTGCCCTGTTTTTTATTTCATGCTTTTCTGTGCCCCCATGAAAACACGCTGGCACCCTCCTGGTCCCCTGGTGCATTTGTTCCACTGTGGCTGCTGCCGGCAGAGCTTGCCGTTCGGAGAGGCTGATGCTGGCTGCTGCCGGCACAGCCTGACATCGGAGAGGCTGATGGCGGCTGCTGCCGGCCGAGGCCACTTATAGGCAGATAAACTACTCCGTTCCATCAAGTAAATGTGACCGTATAAAAGTTTTAATGCAGTTTATTAAGCAATAACATCACAATCAAAAAAACAAAACATATAAAGAGTACATTTTAATACAGGTTATTAAGCGATAACATCACTATATATATATATATATATATATATATATATATATATATATATATATATATATATATATATATATATATATATATAAATATATAAAACAATCTAGTTAGAAGTACTATAACTAAGGCATTTGCCGAAAAACGGCCAGAAAAATACCCAAAAAATAATTAAATACCAAAGAACAGCAATCAAAAAACATGACAAAATAATTCAGTGGCTCCGGCCAGTAATACGGCGTGCCATTAGCCAGCGAGCCACTGGAACTGCTGCAACGAATTGAGCTCTCTGTCTCTCAGGAATGGTTTGACCAAGGTATTATTCTATTAAATCAGCTTATTTCTCCAGATGGGGATCTTATGAGCTGCAATGAATTTGTTTTCCATTTTCATTTCCGTCCCAAAAGTAGAATATACTCATTTAAAATTTTACACAAATACTACCCAGTATAACTTTTTTTTTATTACAGTTTCTGCTCTGCATATCCTGAATCCCATTTATTTTGGAATTGCTCATACAGCAAAAGGTTTTGGAAAGATGTTTCCAAGTTCATTACTGACAATTTATTGGAAGGTTTTTTTACTGTCTTTTGAATATGTAGTTTTAGGATTTCTAAAATATGATAAGGGGATAGAACAAAGGGCTCATGTCATCAACTTATTTATCATTATGGCCTTTTACACAAATGTAAATTCTCCCAGCAGAAGCCGCTGTCCCTAGTATTGTTTATTTCATATATCAATACAATCAAAACAACTTTCAACAAGAAGGCAGTGAAAACTATATTTTTCTATATGTTCAAACTACAACTTCTGTTCTGAATGAGTTAATCTTTTCTTGAATTGTTTTGTAATAGATCCCCTTGGTATGTAGTTGCCCCTTATCTTTCTATTTTCTTCTTTTATTTTTTCTCAAATCCGCCCCTGTTTTCAGGCTTATGTTAACTGTAAAGACTTATCTTGGTTGTTTACACTACGCCTTTTCCACCCAAAACGGCGTCTTAGCAACAAATGTAACGTGACATAATTGTTTACTTATATCACTTCTCTTGTATGCATTTGAAAATTTTGCTTAATAAAATTTATATTTACAAAAAAAAGCCAGAAGCTGCGTTAGCTTCGCGCTAGCTTCGCGCTAGCTTCGCGCTAGCTTCCGACTATTGTAACCCCAGAAACTAAATGCTAACAGTAATATGAAATAATGCTGTTGTGTAAAAAAAACTCACGGACTCGACCTGTTGAATGCAGAGGCAGAGAAATGTAAACTACTCACCGATTTTCAATCACTTTATCGTTGTCTGGCTTGACTCTTCTGTTACTTGTGTACGTTCCTTCCGTGTTGTCAGTGCAGCGATTTGATTGGCCAAAAGTTTCCAATTCGCGCGGTGTGTATCCAACATCGCGGGAAGTGTAACATCTGACTTCCGGTGGAAAGCGGAAGACGGACACACACCTTTACACACATACCCGATTATTGCTACCATACCGGCCAATTTTAAGAGATGGAAAAAAAAGCAATGGCAGCATCAGGGGGGGCTGCTGAGCACATTTGAATTGAAATCGGATTGGGGCCCAGCATTTTGGGCCCCACTCCGATTTTGGACCCCCTGCAGTGAGTGTGCTCCCACCGATGGGACCCTGCACGGATAGATATGTAAGGACACACACACACACACACACACACACACACACACACACACACACATATATTATGTAAATTATATACTTTACAAAAAACTGTGAAACAACTGAAAATATGTGTTATGTTCGAGGTTCTTCAAAGTAGCCACCTTTTGTTTTGATTACTGCTTCGCACACTCTTGGCATTCTCTTGATTAGCTCCAAGAGGTAGTCATTTGAAATGGTCTTCCAACAGTCTTTAAGGCGTTCCCAGAGATGCTCAGCACTTGTTAAAGCTTTTGCCTTCACTCTGCTGTCCAGCTCACCCCAAAACATCTCGATTGGGTTCAGGTCCGGTGATTGTGGAGGCCAGGTCATCTGGCGCAGCACCCTATCACTCTCCTTTCTTGGTCAATGACCCCAAACACAGCCTGGAGCTGTGTTTGAAAAATAAAGGATGGCCAAACTAAACACAAACCGGATGGAATAGCATGCCACTGCAAGACGCAGTGGTATCCATGCTGGCTCAGTATGCCTTCAAATTTGAAAAAATCCCCAACAGTGTCACCAGCAAAGCACCATCACACCTCCTCCTCCATGCTTCACGGTGGGAACCAGGCTAGTAGAGTCCATCCGTTTACCTTTTCTGCGTTGCACAAAGACATGATGGTTAGAACCAAAGACCTCAAATTTGGACTCATCAGAATATAGCACAGATTTCCACTGATCTAATGTCCATTCCTTGTGTTCTTTAGCTCAAGTAAGTCTCTCCTGCTTGTTGCCTGTCCTTAGCAGTGGTTTCCTAGCAACTATTCTACCATGAAGACCTGATTCACTGTCTCCTCTTAACAGTTGTTCTAGAGATGTGTTTGCTGCTAGAACTCTGTGTAGCATTGACCTGGTCTCTAATCTGAGCTGCTGTTAACCTGTGATTTCTGAGGCTAGTGACTCGGATGAACTTCATAGCAGAGGTGACTCTTGGTCTTCCTTTCCTGGGTCAGTCCTCATGTGAGCCAGCTTCTTTGTAGCGCTTGATGGTTTTTGCGACTGCACTTGGGGACACTTTGAAAGTTTTGCCAATTTCTTAAAGTAATGATGGCCACTCATTTTTCTTTACTTAGCTGCTTTTTTTCTTGCCATATTACATATTCTAAGTCTATTCAGCAGGACTATCAGCTGTGTATCTACCTGACTTCTGCACGACACAACTGATGGTCTCAACCGTATTTATAAGGCAAGAAATCCCACTTATTAAACCTGAAAGGAAACACCTGTGAAGTGAAAACCATTTCTGGTGACTACCTCTTGAAGCAGTAATCAAAGCAAAAGGTGGCTGCTTTGAAGAACCCAGAATATAAGACATATTTTCAGTTGTTTCACAGTTTTTTGTTAAATATATAATTCCACATGTGTTAATTCGTAGTTTTGATGCCTTCAGTGTGAATGTACAATTTTCAGTCATAAAAGTAAAGAAAACTCTTTGAATGAGAAGGTGTCAAATAGCTTCATATTTTTTCTTTCTTTAGTAAATGCTGCCTCTTACCTCCAACTCTATATATCTTGCTCCTCATCATCGTTCCTGACAGCCTGGGCTACACGTTCAGTCACAAACTTCACTGTGAAACTGTTGTGCTCTGAGTCAGCATGTATGAACCAGTATAATTTCAGGAAATGATCACTCTTGAGGCTGTACTCTACTAGCAAAGCAACAGCAGGATGGGTGGGGGCAGGTGGGCCCTTCTCAACCTCCGCAGGAAGTACATGCACTTTTGTGCCCTTTTGACCAGTGAGGTGCTGTTTATAGTCCAGGTGATGTGGTCTGTGATGTTGGAGCTATTCTGTTTCATTTCATCTTATCCTGTTGCAGAAGACTGCGTATGTTTCCTCGGTCAGACGGAATATGTCAACTCATTTGGTGCAGCTTAGAAGGTTTATTGATGGAATAGAAGCAGGTAAATTGGAGATGATGATGGGGGGCTTATATTTGGTTTCGTAGGTATATGTATGTGGGTGTGTTGTTATCTGAAACAGAAGAAACAATAAAGGTGCATATTTATAGCTATGCAGGCAAAACTGCTACACATAGATGCAGGAAGAAAAGGGCCTGTAGTATCATAGAAATCCACTGGAGGGCGCCATAAAACCACACACACACACATGCATTATCGGTCAAATTAAAAAACATACCAAAATGACATAAAAACGACGAAAAATATGAAATGAACGGAAATGTCCTCATATACTAATATAATGACAATATATCCAGGTTAGTATAAAATAGAACTTGAGTTATTATAAAAAACATCCCAATTTCCAAAAACTTTTAAAAACACCTAAGTCCAGCAACTTTTCATTAACTAACAGTAATTTCTTAAACACAAAACAGAACAGTATTGGTCTTTTATTTTTAATACTTTCAATCTTGTAGCCTTGAACATTGGTTCTGTTTTTCATGGGACTTCAGCATACAGTGCACCTCGCCACGGTGTCATCATTCCTCACCATGGCCGGTTCTAGACAGGGGCCAACCGGGGCCCCTGTAGATCATGGCCCCTGTACTGAAGACATAATACTTAAAAGAAATTATAATGATAATGCGCTAGAACAGACACGGTTACTGATAGGTCATTTGGATCTATTTCATTCTTTTTCTTTACAAATTCTGTTTTGCTAATAATTTAAAAAACAATAAAGTGATAGCTTCAGTGGTACTGAGATGGGATCCCAGTTTTCATCTGCTAAATGTTTTTTGTTCTTCACAATAAATAGAAAAAAATGCTCTAATTTTTACAGATGAATTTAACAGTTTTTCTTGAATTCTAACCTAATTTTGATAGAAAATAGCAGTTTTTTACTTAAATTAAGTCAAAAATATGTAAAATTCTTAAATTCTAAATGTATATTGACCTCATAAGAAATGGAATTTTTATCGAATCTAATTGAAAAGAAATTTCACTTCATGCAGCTCTCTTAATATAATCAAATCTTTTGCCCTGTTTTTTTATTTTATGCTTTTCTGTAACCTGACTCCGCCAGATGGATTTGCTCCGCGTATCCATCTGAAAACCTTCCGTTCAAGTAATTTTGGGAAGGGGCGAAAATAATGGTTAGCTGATTGGCCTATGTTGGTGATAGACGGGCCAAATAAACCAATCAGATCAACGAAGCATATGAGGTACTAACAGAGCGACGACGAAGAGGAGCCAACTCTTGCCGAAACCAGTCGGGAGAAGAGCAAAAACATCTTTTCCTCTGAGAAAAGCCTCCAGAGCAGTGTTTTGCTCTTCTTTCAGTGAAGAAATACTCTGTAATTCCGATAAAACTTGCTCGATAGCCACGCTAACGCTAGTTTCATCGGCTGAAGCCACCATGTTCTTAGACTGAACTGTGGCGCTTCTTGCGTCACACCTCAACCCGTCTCAAAGCCAACGCTGATTGGACGTTCATTTGGTGAACTGCTCCAAATTTTCTTTAACGGAAAGTAGCCAGACTTGATCTGTGAGTGAAACCTTGAAAGCTTGCGAGATCAGGATGGTCTCACTAGGCTAGCTTTTCTGTGCCCCCATGAAAACATGCTGGCCCCCTCCTGGCCCTCTGTTACATTTGGTCTAGATCCACCACTGTTCCTCACCTTCACTAGATGTGGATATACTTTAGTATATTCTGCTGTAAAATTAGTCTGATATTTCAATTTCTTACTCAAGGATTCAACCTCTGCCGTTTCACAGGATGCACAGCTTTGAGTGGTAACTAGGTGACTGCCAGAGAGTAACCCAGAGAAACTTATTGGACTGATTCGATCACCTCTCTGACAACCAGTCGCCTGGAAATCTGGCTGAACAGAGCATGGGCGTAGGTCTGCATAGGGACCTTAGGGACATGTCCCTACCGAAATTTTGGACCGACCTACTTGTCCCTACCAACAATTAGATGTTAATAACATGTTTATAATTTACAATACAGCGTTGTTGCAGCAGTAGAGGGTATGGAAAATATTGACAGACGAAAACATTTTTGTTTATATATAAAAAATTTTTTTTTTACAATGTTGGTATAATGCCTGTGTAGCCGCCCTCATCTGAACTCTGCGTTGTGTATAACAGTCAAAGGAATCAGCAGACGAGGACCATAGGTGTATTGCAGCAGTAGGGCAGGTTTATTCTGTTTAAAACAAAAGAAAATTCAGGACAGCAGTTCTTGGGTTCGGGCTTCCCCACACATACACCTCTCCCCAGCGCGGCTCGGCGCGAACTGAGACAGGAATGTGTTCAAAACAACTAAACTCCTCTCAGAGGTTCAAAAATAATAAAATAATACATTCATTCATTCAAAACAATTAAATAAAATGCAAACGGAAATAATCTGCCCAATATTTGCAATTCTTTCAGGCCAAATTGAATTAATAATAAAAAGAACTTTCCATAAAAATATACTGAATACATTAATTAAACAACTCACATACCTGTTTAAAACAAAAGAAAATTCAGGACAGCAGTTCTTGGGTTCGGGCTTCCCCACACATACACCTTAACAAATGAGAAGAACGAAAAGAACCACATTGGCACAGTAGACCCAATAAATGTCACCAGTGTAGGAATTAAAAACCCAAAACAGCGCTGCACTAAACATATAACATTTAACCAAAGGTATATAACAACGTGAGTTTATAAAACATACATTTTTGATATTTTTAAGAAACAAATAGAAGACCACACTGTATGCTTACCTCTCCCCAGCGCGGCTCGGCGCGAACTGAGGAAAGCAGCGGGAACACACAGGATATGACGCGAAAACAGGAAACAAGAAAATAAAAGCTTCTCCGCCAAAATAAAATACAATTTAAAAACAAATATAAAATAAATTATCAAAACGAATTTGGAGTGAAATATAAACATTTTTTGCACACTTGCTACATCCACCCCTCCTATATTTCACCAAAATCCAAGTCAGTC